TGTCAAATCAGTCGATAAAGATAAAGATATAGATGAATTATTATTATCTAATAATAAGTTAGGTAACAAAAAAAACGTGAAAATGAAATTTTGTAAATAGATGAATTATTATTATCTAATAATAAATTAGGTAACAAAAAAAAAATGTGAAAATGAATTTTTGTAACAAAATTTTATTTTATTTATTAATTTTTAAATATTGTTAAAGATGCATTTTAAAAAAGAAAACATGCGGGATGGAGTTTTATATTTGAAGTCAATTTTCTCATTTCACATATTTGTTGCTAGAAGAAACTTTTATCTCTTTTGTTTTTACTCATGCCTTGCTTCATTGTGCACTACCATCTGTACTTCAATGGTTCTCTCTCGAGAGATGAGCAGCGCAAAAGAATGTAGAAAATAATTTTAAAAAACGCTTAGAGAGAAGTATCACTTATTACTTTATCCAATTTTACTTAATAAAAATTTGCTGAGTTAAAATCAACCACACAACAAAATAACAAGTAAATTAGAGTTAGAGTCGCACCGAAATTTTGTGAGGAAAATCATTTAAAAAAATTGTTGAGAATTTTTACATTATCCCAAGAGAAACAATCCACTGTTTAGTGTGTATGAATCAAAGTACAATAGATTTTGACCGAGACTCACACCCTCTTGCCCTACCAAAAATAAATTGATGTCCGTCTTCAGTTTTGCGACTCCTCCATCCAACAATTCTTGACCCCATGTTTACTTCCTTGACTTTTGTTACTTTTTTAGAAGTATTGTTGGTAATCAAACAACACACCGGGAAATTTGATTATTTGAAAGTGCGATCGTCCTTCAAATCTGATTTCGATATAAAAGGATAAAAATCTGTTTTCTCTAATCGGTATTAATGAATCTTCAATAGTTCGAGCTTCGATTAAAATGAGAACACCAACCTAAATCACTTTGTATATGTAGTGTGTAAGCTTTCAATGAAAAATAAACACTAAAAAAGTTCCCACAAAGTTAGCTCTCAAAATATGTTAAAAATTGTATGCAAAAGTCGTAAAAAAACCATTGTGAGAAAACATGTTTATATAAATTTTTGAAAACCTAATTGCACTTTAAAAAACAAGTTAATTTCATGCATGTCTTACAAAAATCTAGCCAAAACGAGAAACCCAATTGGACAAGGATTCAAGTTACCAATTTGATCTACAAGAGCGCAACTGGTTCTGTTATGCCAGTGAGTAATGTTTTAAAAACGTGTATAAAATTTTCCAATCATAACTGGTTCCGTTTGCACGCAACCAGTTCCGCAGAGACATAATGCATTTTTCTAAAATATAATATTTTAAAAATCTTTTAAATGCATATGCTCTTAAGCTCACAAATGTCCTTGTACACACACTTATCTTACTAATGTGTTGTTCTCATCAAATCAAAGTGTAGACATGATTCATATCTTCAATCTCGCATTCGATCTTGAGTATTGAAAATTATATAAAAAATACAACTCGATCAAACTTATTTTGAAATCTAAATTTGTCAATATATAATATTTTATTTCACATATGTGGGCAATTCAAAGTCCTGCAACAACAACCTGTAAGGTTTGTGGCTAACACTATTACAAGACCCATTTTCAACTTTAATACACTTGCCAATCAAATTCCAAATTTATTATGTGGTTCAAAATTGTGTGACGGAATTAACTTCCTTTTTCGTTTTGGAATGTTGAAATTTGTGAAGGAAATTATGTCTCATTAAGTTTTTATTTTAGAGTTGAAATTAATATGGTAACTCCTTGTAGGCAAGTTGGGAAATACTTGTCCAACAAAAAATTAAAATTTGAAGAATCTATAAATAGAGATGAGTACGAGAGGTAGAGAGATAAAAGAGAGAGAAAAGATGTAAGGAGTTTAAGGGTGAGTGTTGTGAGAAGAAGTGAGAGTATATGCAAGGGAGGAACTATTAATGGGCTAACCTGGGCTAAAGCCCAGGTCCAATTGAAAAAAAAAAAATTAGTACTCCCTCCATTCCATAAAAAGTGTCACTTTTAGGAAACCGTGACTCTCACAAATTGATCTGACACGATTCCCGAAACATGATTTTATTTTTGGGACGGAGATAGTAATATTGTTCCTATAAGCCCATGTACTACTCTTCCTCTTCCTATTAGCCCTACCCAATCCATAGTATTTCTATAAATTAAAAGAGTTATAAAATTTACAAAGGCCAAACCTTAAAATATGAGCAAGCCTACGAACCATGGATAGGCCCAATCACAAAATAAACCGTAATAAAACACAACAGGGCCCGGCTCAGTACGTAAATCAAACATATTGTTAGTCTATGGAAGAAAACCTAAACTTTTCGTGTGTAAGGCACTAAGGCATAGGTGGATGGATATCATGAATTATTATTGTTAGTGGATTAATAACTGGTCGGGGATAGAGCACATATGTCTTACTTTCTAATGTGAATTTATTAATATGGAACATATATATCTTGCATTTTTGTGGTGTTTGCTTTAATATTTGTATGAAGTAGATTTCAGTGAATTCTTGATTATAAAAATACGTTATAGTTTGGAAGTGTAAATGTTTTAGAAGGTTGTAGGTTATTGGGTTTAATTGAATAACTAATGTATGAAAATTCTGTATTTAGAGTATGGATAATACAGTAAGTAATCGTGGATTTAATTATTTTTAGCCCCCTTTATTTTGCAATCCTGGTTCTGCCCTTGAGTATATGTAATTTCCAAGTGTATATATGTAGCCTCAAAAGAGATAATAAATAAGTGAGTGGGGTTTTGATATGTGATTGTATATTCTCTTCCTTAATTTATAATAGTAAAATCTCTTCCTTCTATGAACGTAGTTTTAGAGTTGAATAAACTATATAAAATATTGTATTATTTGTGGAGGCTTGTAATTATAATCTTTTGTTGATATGATAATACTTTCCTTATATGTTATTAAGGAAAAATTTAACTTTCAAGAATATTCGACCAATGAGCGAGTTAAAGGGAAGTGAATTATCCTCCAGCAAATACTACTCGTACAATATTTCTGGACCGTATACCTATACCTATGCTATTTCTGGACCCTATACCTACACTTAAGTTTAGTAGAGCCATTCACTATATGAAGAGTAATCAATCAATGACTTTGCCAGGCTTTAGTGAAATTCATTACTATTATTATTTTATATTTCTTATCTTTATAATACATTTGTATTGCTTTAATTAGGAAAAGATACAAATGTCTAATTAAAGCCCACCAATATCATTCAAAGGAACACATTATTGAAAGATTTATATAATCATATAGAAAATGTTGCTTTAAAATAAACAGCTCTCTCGTGCTGGCGAACTAAAGACGTAGGTGAATTATTGAAAGATTTATATTAACCTATTTTTGCTTTAGGTGAGAAAAAGATGTAGGTCAATTATTATTATCTAATAATAAGTTAGGTAAAAAAAAAAAATGTGTGAATGAAATTTTGTAACAATTTTTAATTTTATTTATTATTTTTTTAAACATTGTTAAAGATGCATTTTAAAAAAGAAAACATGCCTGATGGAGTTTTTATATTTGAAGTCAAATTTTCCATTTCACATATTTATTTCTAGAAGAAACATTTAAGAGTGAGTGAATTTTAACGACAAAAATCAATTAGAAAAATACAAATTTTCATGTTATCTCAAACGAAACGATTCACTATGTAAAAACAACGACTAATAGATTTCGACTCTGTCCACGTCCTCTCGCTTTACCAACAACAAATTGCTAACCGTCTTCGGCTTTGGGACTCCCCCATCCAACAGTTTTTGATCTCAGACCTACTCCCTTAGCCTTGTAGAAAATTGTTGATAAATCAAACAACACTTCGAGAATGCTTTGACTCCTTCAAAGTGTGATCGTCCTTCGAACTGATTTCAATATAGAAGGATAAAAATTTAATTTCTCTGATCGATATTGATGAATCTTCAACAATTCGAACTTCGATTAGAATGAGAACAACACCCTAAATTACTCGTGTGTGTAGTGTGTATGCTCTCAAAGAAAAATAAACACTCAAAAAAATTTCATAAAGTTGGCTCGCAAAATATGCTGAAAATTGTATGCAAAAGCCGTAAAAAAACACTTAGATGAGTAAATATGTTTATATAGATTTTTAAAAACCTAATTATACTCAGAAAACAATTTAATTTCATACATAGTATGTCTTGCAAAAATCTAGCTGAAAAAAGAAACTAAATTCGATAAAGATTCAAGTTACCAATTTGATCTGCAATAATGCATCTGATTTCGCTAAGCTAGTGAGTAATGTTTTAAAAATGTGTATAAAATTTGCCAATCGCAATCGGTTTCGTTTGCGGACCCGTAATGCATTTTTTTTAAAATATAATATTTTGAAATATTTTAAATATCTCAAACTCACAAATGTTCTTGCACACACATTTACCTTACTAATGGATCCAACTTGAAAATTAAATCGAAAAATCCAATTGGATCCAACTTGTTCTTGATAAAAATTACTCAACATACAATAATATTATATTTCACCTCTATTCAAAGTCTTTGAAAATATGACATCAAAACTCTGTGAGGCTTCTGATTTACACTGTTGCAAGACCTATGCTATTTGTGTTGACGCGGGTAACACAAATCAAGCCCAAAATCATACAAATCAAGCCACCACCAACACAATTCAAGCCATTGCCGATGCAAATCAAACCCAAAATCATGCAAATCAAGCCATCGCCAACACCAATCAACCCCAAAATTATCAGCCCAATCCCAATTCCAACCGTAACTCATCTTTTTCATGAAGCAACTGACGTAATCATAGTCAAAGCTGCATATTGATAGTCAACAAATTTAAAGTGATAAGACTCAGACAAAATTACAGAATACTATGGAGAAAGCAATCACATTCCAAACAATAATCTATCTGTCCTTGGGCTGTTTAGTAACAGCTTTATTACTTTTTTTTTAAAATACGGCTAAAGTTGAGTTGTCAAGTCAAGTGTTTCATTAGTATCAACCAGCTTTCCAGTTTTCCAGCTTTATATAAAGCTGTTAGAGGGACCTTTGACCACTTCAAAACTTTCAAAACCAAAAAGATCGGTTCATTACTTTTTACCTTTTTATTTTTTTTTGTATTTCTTTTGTTTGTTTGTATATATATATATTTTTTTACAGGCATACAGAATTGATTATGTACATTACATTCCCTCCACCGTACTCTTTTCTCTCTCTTACTGCAAATCTATGAACCTCTCTATATAAGCCCACCCACCACTCATCATCTCTCACCCCTCCTTTACACGAATTTATCTATCTGTTGTCTAAATCCATGTCCAAACATCTCTTTCTTTCTCTCATCCTTTCTTTCTCGTCTGCCAAACACTTATAATACATCCTTCGCTCACCATTTTCATCTCTTCCTAGCTTCCATATAAAGAGTTAGTTAGGCTCATATTTGTTCGATTTTGAGCAAATTAATTGGTTTTAGCCTTAGGGTTATGCCTCCTCATTCCTCAGGTAACTTTTAATGTTTAATACACTAATTTTTCTATTATATATATATATATATATACACACACCCTTTTTGTCATTTTTTTCTTTTTTCTTTGAGTCATCATAAGCAGGCTCTGGCTCCTAATATTTTAGCTGCTCAAAATACTAATTTATTATGTTGAAGATTTTAAGTTAAACAATGTATACAATTTCAGTATAAATATATTTAAATGTTTCCATCTCTAATCTGCTATTATATATAGGTGGTGGTGTTGAAGAAGAAACCTCAGTGAAATGAGTGGACTAGGAAAGGAAGTTGGTATAGACATCCCTTCAACTTTTCTTCTTATCTATTTATTTTTATTTTTTTTATGATCCAGAACTCCTGAAACAAGCCACTTATGGACCCCATTCTGTAGGGTTAAATTGGGAGCAATATAGCACGGCTCCATAGTCACACACTGAATGAGTCCAAGACATAGGAGGCTTGGGAGGTTCGAACACTGGCACGTGAAATGCAAGTGCCGAGTTCCTACCATCACTGCTACGCCGGCATCTCTTCAACTTATTCTTCAAAAATTTATTTTAATTTATTTATTTTTGAAGCTAGATCTTACTACTTTTTCCTAATTGTCTTTCCCATACATACTTGAACATTTATTATTCAATTTGTTTTTCATTTTTTTTTAATAAAATATGAAAACACATACAATTTGATAAGCTTAATCAAATCATTTTTTTTTGACAAATCATAGTTTGCCCCTGAATTGCCTGAAATCTTTTCTGTATCACAGTTAAAAATGAGTCTCAACTATGAAATTGTCCTCCTTTTGTGTCTAGTCCCTTCAACAAATTAGAAATTATTTCGACATTATTTAAAATGTCTGCTTTTATTACTCTTTACAAAAAAAAAAAAAAAAGTAATGCTATTACAAGAGCGTTCAGGCAATAGCACTCGCGCTCTCCATGTTTAGCACACGATGTCTTATTCTTAGAATTCCGGAGCACTAAGGAAACTGATCTGTTAACCCTTAACCCAACTCTGTCTCCGTTAACCCTTAACCCAACTTTCTGTTTTTGCTTAACCCTCAACCCTTCTCTCTTCTTTTGCCTTTTTTCTCTGTCTAACCTTTGTCCATCTTTCATCTCTTTTATATATATATATACACGTGTATGTCTTCTTTTGCTGCTAAGAGGAAGAAAAAAAAATCTACTTCTACTTTAAAATTGTTAGATCGTGGAAAAGAATCCATGTTTGTAATGGTGGTGTTGATTTATTGCGGTGGTTTTTTTATTTTGATTATTGATTTTTTTGTGTGTTTTGATTGTGGTGGTTGTCGGGGTGGAGATTGTGGCGGTGGTTTGGGGTGACCGAGTGAGGATGGTGGTGGTTAGTGGCGGTTCATTGACAGGAGAAAGGGAGGCCAAAAATAAAAGGCGGTGACGTGGAAGTTTCTTAACAACGGGATAGTTTGCGAATGTTATAAGAAGTAGTACATTCAATTTTTAAATAGAATATATTTTTGGGATATTATAAATTTGAAATATGAATAATTATTTCGGGACGGAGGGGTACTTTTTACTAATTGCTTTACTCATTTATTCGAGGATTTCGAGGGGCATCCTCGCCTTCTGATCGTATCAAAGAACACTTGAATTTTAAAGATGGCATGTTTGTAATGGTGGTGTTGATATTACCATGTTTTCTATTGTAATTAATGGAAAATTTTCGAGAAAGTTTGAAGTAAGGAAAATTTCAATGTCACCTTTGTACGTATGTGCCATCTTTATTTATTAATAAAGATTAACATTTAAGATTTGTTAATCTTTATTAATAAATACAGATAACACATTCATATTCTTTGTGGTGTTATGTGATAATTTTGAGGACGGGTGTTTCGTGGACGGGTGCGAGAGATACTGTCAGGCTACCACACTGGCGAGTTATAGGTGCACAGTCCCACATCGTCTGGGTAGAGAAAAAGTGAAATGCTTATATATAACTGTGTCATCTCCAATTGGTATGAGGCTTTTTGGGGTGGAGCTCAGGAGCAAAATCGTGCGAGTTTAGGCTCAAAGAGGACAATATCATACCATGTGGTGGAATGGATTCTTACAAATGGTATCAGAGCCTGATCCAGTCGGACCTGGGTAGAGGAAAGGTTCAATTGATAGTTCAAAGCAGACAATATCACCATGTGGTAGAGTGGGTCGTTACATGCTATTTGTTATATTTTAAGTGGTTGCTTTTATTGTGAGGGAAAAAATGTAATGGTTGGATTTGATTTCTTTCTATTCTTTATACAGTGAAAGAAGATGATTAGGAAAGCTTGGCAGTGCCAGTTTTTTTTTTTGGACGGTGATGGAAACAAAATTAATTACTTAAACTAACTACTGAAAGTAACAGCTTGCCCTTTTGATCCATTTGCAGCTCTACTAATAAGCTTACTTCAACCATTGCAATTTCCTGGATTATTGTCTATTTTCTATCCAGTTCACTTTCTAAAAAATTTGATGAATAGATTCATCGTTTTTCCTTTTGGTACTCATGATATTACGAAAGACATCGACTTCTTGGAGTGTGTGAATCAAAATCTGTTGGTATTCATGAGATACATTGGCCGGAAACACTTATTTTGCATATATATGAATATAACTTTTTTCTTTTTTCTTTTTTCTTTTACATGATAGACCTTAAATCCAAAGTTCGTCCTAGATGCATCATTTTTCTGGGCTGAAGTTGAAAAAGTGCAGTTCATGGAGAAACTTGCAGAGTTGCTTTCTATTGGGAGGTTCAATGGTGCCGAGGTTGAAGGAAATTTTGGTCAACTTTGTTGGTTTGAAAGAATAAGGAACCGGGTTAAACTTTGGAGAATTTTTAAGCGTAATTTGAAGGAAAATAAGTATAGTACAGTCGATGGGATGAAAACAATTTCTGGTGAGCTGCAAGGCGGTCTCACCATTTCAAGGTTCTTTAAGAATGTGTATGGTCATTCTAATGACCCATGGAAGAAAATTAACTATTGCACCAAGGTATGTGATCATGTGTCTGTATTATGTTTAAACATAACCACTTTTTTTTTTTTTTTTTTCCTTTCTATTCATTTTGTAGCATTACAGAGATTGAGGTGATATTGAGTAAAAATTTTCCAAATGTTTATGAATTGCTTAGGTGGTCAAGTTATAGATTGGGGCAAGTCCCTATGCAGAATTGGTAGGGAGTTGATTTTTTAATTTTCTCCCACTGTTTGTGTTATTAATTCGGTAATTATTTTATTTTTGTTTATAGCAATTATGTTCAATAGTATTTGAGGAGCAACCCCGAGGAGGAGGACTACTTTTTATCGGACTGAAAAGTTATAACAAATCGGTCGTATGATTTTTGTTTACTATGTTTTTTATTGTAGTTAATGGAAAATTTCCTAGGTGTAGAAAGTTTTAAGGTCAGGGAAATTCCAATGTCTCTTTGCTTAATTGTAAATTGTATGAATGTGTCATTTGTACTTATTAATGAAGACATCTGAAAAGTTGCATACCTGCTCTTTTCTTTGTGCTGCTATTTGAATATATGAGTTGTAGATTTGTTATATTATAAGTAGTTACTTGCAATTTCCTGGATTATTCTCTATTTTCTAACCTGTTCACATTCTAATAGGCAAGGACTACTTTCTTACCTTGCACTCCAAAATGGAGCTAGTAATGTTGTTCCTCATTATTACACATGATACATGTAGATGTATACAGGTAGTATCTAAAATAGAGAGTAGTTTTTTGAATTTAAACATGTAGTTAGCTTGGATGATTTTATATATTTTATGATTTAATTTTTTTAATAAACATTTTTGAGTAGAAAACGATTAGAATAATCAATAATTAGTCACAAGACATTAATGATTAGAGATTTATTTATATTTTTTTATTTTTACATCTACATTTGGACTCCAAAGGAGAAAACCCTGGATGCACTAATGATTGTACTATAAATGTTTTGTAGAAAAGAAGAGTCTTAAATTGTTTGGTTAGTGTCAAGGAAATTGAAAGTTTTGAGAAAAATAGGATTCTCCAATATGTAATTTTTTTAAAATTTTTCCTTCTTAAAACACACAAAAATTAACTTTTCACAAAAGTTGTGCACTTTATATATTACTTTTCTATTATATTGTGTCTCTTCATTCTCCTTCTCTAAACATCATTGAAAATACGAGTTTTATTCTTATGTAAATTGCTTTTTTACAATCATGTATTACTGATTTAAATTATATATATTTTTATGTGTGCATCCAAATTTAATTTATTTTTTCCTTTCATTATTAAATTATTTTTATTACTTTTTTTTTTTTTTTCAACTTTTTTGAAAGGTCTGAAATTAGTAAAATATATTTTTTTTCAGAATTGATAATAATTAAGAGTTGTTATATATATACATAATTATTTGTTGATAAGAGTGTTGGGTGAAAATTGGATTAATGTTAGAGATTTTTTATCAACGATTTGAAACTTCGATTCGTTTCATAGCTCGAAGCCTATTCATGTTCGTGGTATCATGGTATTATGTGTGTGTTCAAACTAGAGCCAAAACTCTAACATTACAAACACTCCAAAGCTCACCTTTTTTTTTTCTGGTTTTGTACTTCTAAGAATATGTGTTAGTTTTTATATTCAAGAAGTATTTTTAGAGGTAAAAGCAATATAAGAATTTAAACAAACAACTTTGTATAAATCTTCTTTATCTTCTACTTTTTTGGCCCATAAACACGTGACATAAAAAATTCGATTTATCAAAAAGTTTATTTTTATCAATTTTAAAATAATAATAATATGGAGAAATAAATAATAAATAATAAAGCTAACATAAAGAGAAAACCATATTTGAATCGAGGACAAGTGAATATATATATATATATATATATATATACACACACTATTTTATTCTATTCCATATTTCACTATTTTCTTACTAAAATAAATAATTAAGTATAAATAATATTCATCTAACATAAATTTATTTATTTATTTTACTATTTGAATTTATAAGGGTATTTTTAGTAAGTAGAATCATTTTCTTTTTCTTTTCATGTTATCTAAAGTAACAAAATAAAATTTTCCCACAATTTTCTTCAAATATTTTCTTATTAACCAAATGCATGATGGAAATTTAATTTTCCTTTCTTTCACTTTCACTTTCAATAAAATTTTCCGTTTAGCCAAACAGAATCTAAAGGGACAAAAAAAATAAAAAATAAAAAATAAAAAAATAAAAATAAAAATAAAAATAAAAATTCAAGAATTATTACGCCATATAATACCGCTCCTCAAAGATCTTTATTTATAAATCGGCTAGCAATAATGATTAATGACCGAGCCAAAATTTATTTGGGGGCTGAAGAAATTGAAAAAAATAAATATAAGAACATAATATTGAATGATAATATTTTTTGTTTATTGCATTCACAATTATCCTTGGTGATTGTTTAAAATACGTAGTATATTCATGGTAAATTTAGTGTTGCACAAAAATGTATTAATTTTAGAATATTTAGAATATGTATGCTAAATAGGCATCAACTTTGAATCTCGTGTTGGAATTAAACTTGACCTTTGTGTTTCACAAGATTGAAAAAAGAGTTGGGTTGGTGATTAAATTACAATTCAATTAATTAAAATGCAAATGAAATTAAACTAAATAAATCGGATTTGAATTATAAGAAGAGAGATTTTAGGGCATAGGAATCACCATTAAGCTCATTCACTAATCCACATACTTCCAACTAACTGGGAAAAACATTATTGTAATCTAAATGCGACCACAAATTACAATATTAAATATGGACCATCAAATTCAAGCATGAATTGTCTATCTAACCAACAAGTAAACTAAGGTATAGTACAACCCATCAAGCCTAAGCATAATTTATAAAATTAGTTAACAATTGTAGCACGCATCAATTTAGAGAATAATGCAATTTGCGACAATAAGCTATGGACTATCAAAATCAAGTATGAATTGTCTACCTAATAACAAGTAACTAAGGTGTAGCACAACCCATCAAGCTTAAGCCAAAGCTGACGTAGCCTCTATTTTTTTTTTTTTTTTTCTATGATTGGGCGAGGACGGGATGAGTCAATATTATTCGAAATAATTTGTATTATTTTTTTAAATCAAGTTAATAATCTGTTTTTTTATTTGAAGTAGTTCAGATATAAGCAAGTTTGAACGCATTATCAATATGTATTTCCATTTGATGTAATTCGTATTAGTTCATTAACAATATACATCTCTACATTTGATGAAGTTAAGACATTAACAAGTGTGATTTTATTAACAATTTGTATTTTTAGTTGATGTAGTTGACTTGATGTTGTTGAAATATGAATAAGTTTGAGCACATTAACTATATGAATTTTTACAGCGCCGCGCTCCTTCTATTGCTTCATCTTCTCCATCATAATCTTTTTGTGGCAAATAGGCCATGGATTAACAGTTTCCACGTGGACCAAACTGTTAGAAATTATATACATACACACACACTAGTAAAAGGCAGGTGCGATACATATGATGAATGTTTTGTAATTTATTAAAAAAAAAAAAATTCATATATTTTTTAATTATTTTATATAAATTATTTTATTTTATTTTATTTATATATATCCTTGTCTAATTAGATTTTTTTTATTAAAAAATTCATAATAAATAGGTAAATACAGAGGTTATAAGTGATAAAGTTCTATTTTAAAATTAATTAATAAATATTTTTTTATATTAAAAAATAAATACTGAAATGATAAAACTCTTTACACTTTTATATTTTATTTATATGTATTATTATATATTTTCTTTAAATGTATCGCTGTCTAATATGATAGATTTTTATAGAAAATAAAATAGGTAGTTTGTACTAGAGTTTTATAAAATAATTTGTCACTTGTGGTAAAGTTTTATAGAAATTATCTTATTTTCTTTAAATATATCATTATCTAATTAGATTTCTTTTTATTAAAAAACTCATAATAAATAGATAAATATTATATGTGATAGAGTTTTAAAGAAAATAAAATAGTTAATTTGTGGTAGAGTTTAAGTAATTTGTATTAGTGTTTTATAGAAACTCTTTTAATATATCCTTATTTAATGTGATAGAGTTTTATTGAAAATAAAATAGGTAATTTGTGGTAAAATTTTATAGAAATTATTTATTTTCTTTAAATATATATATTCCTGTCTAATTAGATTTTCTTTTATTAAAAAACTATAATTTGGGTTAGTGTTTTAGAAAAATTATATTATTTTTTATATCAATTAATAATATTTTTTATACTAATAATTCTTGTCTAATTAGATTTTCTTTAATTAAAAAACTCATAATAAATAGATAAATCGGTAATTTGTATTAGAGTTTTATATAAACTCTTTTAAAAATTTATTTTATTTTCATTAAATATATCCTTGTCTAATTAGATTGTATTTTATTAAAAAAAACTCATAATAAATATATAAATACAATTTATATGTGAAAAAGTTTTAAAGAAAATAAAAGATAAATACAGGTGATTTGTGATAACATTTTATAGAAAATAAAATAGCTGATTTGTGAAAAAGTTTTTTAGAAATTATTTTATTTTTTTTAAATATATTCTTGTCTAATTAGATTTTACTTTATTAAAAAACTCGTAATAAATATATAATGTGATAGAGTTTTATAGAAAAATAAAACAGTTAATTTGTGGTAAATTTTATAGAAATCAATTTATTTTCTTTCAATATATTATTGCTTAATTATATTTTCTTTTATTAAAAAACTCATAATAAATATATAATGTGATAGAGTTTTATAGAAAAATAAAACAGTTAATTTGTGGTAGATTTTATAGAAATCAATTTATTTTCTTTCAATATATTACTGCTTAATTATATTTTCTTTTATTAAAAAACTCATAATAAATATATAATGTGATAGAGTTTTATAGAAAAATAAAACAATTAATTTGTGGTAAATTTTATAGAAATCAATTTATTTTCTTTCAATATATTATTGCTTAATTATATTTTCTTTTATTAAAAAATTCATAATAAATAGATAAATTGGTAATATGTGTGTTAAGAGTAAATCTTTTAAAAACTCTTTTTATATTAATGAATAAATATTTTTTATATTAATAATTCTTGTCTAATTAGATTACATTTTATTAAAAAAAACTCAAAATAAAAGATAGTTTGTGGTAGAGTTTTAGAAAAATTATTTTATTTTTTATATTAATTAATAAATATTTTTTATATTAATAATTCTTGTCTAATTAGATTACCTTTTATTAAAAAAAACTCAAAATAAAAGATAGTTTGTGGTAAAGTTTTACAAAAATTATTTTATTTTTTATATTAATTAATAAATATTTTTTATATTAACAATTCTTGTCTAATTAGATTTTATTTTATTAAAAACTCATAATAAATAAATAAATAGGTAATTTGCGTTTAAGTTTTATATAGAAATTTGTGTCTTGAAGGTGGGTTGGGTTTGTATTTTATTTTTTAATTATTTTTATATTAACTTCCCCCCTTTTTGGTACTT